AGGTCGGGGGCTAACCCAGCCCGCTAACCGGGTGAGAAAGAGGGGTGGTGGGCAGGGGAGCTCCTGTTCGGCGCCTTATGTGCCCGAACAGGTTGCTGGCGCCCGCTGTAGCGCCTTCTTGGGTCGGCCCACGATCGGAAAGGCAGCGACCAGAAATCGCCAAGAAAACGCAAAATGGATGGTTGCTTCAGGCCTTGTTCGGTTAAACCTCTCATCGAGGGGATTGGAGAGGATTGGAGGGGATTGAGTGAGATTTTGACTTGTATGGGATTTAATCCACCCCAATCCACTTCAATCCCCTTCAGTTTTGTTGCAACCGAACAAGGCCTCAGGGATCGAACTCGCATCGCTCGTGCAGGCAACCCTTGTTCAATCTTAGCTGACCACCAGGGCAATTAGTCACTTGTGATTTACCAGCGCTAAACTTTACATGAACTAGTTTATCATTTAGTTTTTTCATTTACTTCTATAAAATCGTGAACTTAAAATTGTTCAATTATTTTGAGACAAAAGTTAACAAACTTAAAAAAAGTTCATCGATTTTGAGAAATAGTTCATCATTTTTGAAGAAAAGTTCACAAACTTCAAAAGTTCACCGATTTTGGAAAAAACTTTATGAAACAGTTTAAAAAGTTCATCGTTTTCAAAAAAAAGTTCATCGATTTTGAAAAAAGTTCATCGAGTTTGAGAAAATATTTCATCAATTTTGAAAAAAGTTCACAAATTTGAATGAAAAATTCGTCAATCTTGAAAAAAGTTCATCAAAATTAGTTCATCGGATTTGGAAAAAGTTCGCGGAATTTGAGAAAACAAAAGTCAAATTTGAAAAATGTTCGCTGAATTAGAAAAAAGTTCATCAATTTGAGAAAAATGTGGAAGAGGGAAAAAATTAAACAGAAAAATGAAAAACAAAAAATATAAAAAGTGAAAGGAAAGATGATAAGGTAAACAAGTGATGAAACTATGAGCATCAAGTTACTGTGGCGGGGTGGTTACCACTGTGCACTGTTAATCAGCAAGTCTTTGGTTTGATTCCCAGCTTATGCGAAATTTTTGTGATTTGTATATGCGACAGCGAAGCGAGCGAAATGGGCCAAGCCCAGCTAAAGCTGCTGCAGGCGCCCATTAGAAGAATACACATTAACGGGCGCTAAATAGGAAATGCCGGTGGGCAGCGTGGATTCTTTTTGTTAGTCAGACTTCGCGCTTTTGTATTAATGGGTCCGCTTGGCGGCCCGTTTCAAGGGCAGGTTCTTTTTTGCGTAAATCATTGAAGGAGCCCAAGAGGCTTGGGCAGATTTTCGACCTGACGCAGGAAAAGAAACAGACGTTTTTCTGTACTGATGAGTTTTTAGACAGAGTATATACTCAGATACGTGTTAATCATCCACTGGAACAAAAAACGGCCTGACACCAATTTAAAAACAGCCGTATGTTCATTAGTCACTCCCTTTCCAAAAATACCAAATAATTAACATATAGTACCACATTTGTTGCCCCATATACCATAGTGAACATAACATCTATTGCTAATCTAGACTTTTCCACGGCTAAGATAGGTGGCACACTCTCGCTTGGGATCAAAACATCATTTTCTGATATACCTTGCAGTTTTAGGAAAGGACCTAGAAGTTGCATGAGGAGGACATGTGTAATTAACTCTCCACCGGTGGCTAGATGCTCAGAGTGGAAAGCACCTCCGCAACGAGGCGCAATATAGCAAATCATCTCCAACCAAACTGCGGCAATGAGGTCCCAACAACCAACTTCTCGATGGATGTGAATGAGCTCCTGGGCCACCTTGCATGCACGAGGCAACACTGGAGAAATGAGAGTTTTCGGTGTACTCATCTGAACTCGGTTCTCTAGAAATACCTTCTCCATGGCATCCTGCTCATCTAGACCTCGATGAGCCTCCATGGTCTTAAGAGCATTGTTGTGTTGGAGCTCGGTGGTGTTTGTAAGCATCACACCACACTTGAAGACGAGGTACATGATGTAGTTTGATAGCTCTCTGCTCACCTTCTTCGTTTGCTGATCAGAATTAGTACTGTTGGTGTCGTCTTGGAGGTATAATATGTCTGTTGCAATGTGCCAGATCAACACAGTTGTTGGGAAGTCCTCACCATGGATGCTCTTGTATATATATGTTTCGGCCCTTGTAGATGATGGCCAATGGCTCCAGTCTCGAAGTGCTAATTGACCATGGAAGCTGGCAAAGTTCCAGTCTTCTTGCCTTGTCCCAAATTCCAACAATTTGTCGAGGACAAACCTCTTGAGGTTATCATTTATGGGGATGTGAGTTACTGTCTTGTCATCTAGACGCTTACTGATCCACTGAGCCACAAATGGCATGATTTTTGTCGCATCTTTTTTGGTCAGGCTGTTGATCATATTGTACTGCCTTACCATCTCAGACCAGTACTGTCTTGCACCCCAAGGATGAAGAATACCCCTGGCTAGACTCCGAATCAAATAGCAGGCCTCTTCACTCATTGCAAAGACAGATGCTACATCTAGGGCCAGGGCCCCTATGAGCAATATGTAGGACACAATAACATCGGCTTGACTATAGAGTTGGCTCTTTTGGGCAACCGCAACGAGCACCAGTGTTGCCGAGGTTGAAATAATGGGGAAGATAACAAGCAGGCAGGAAAAGGATAGATGAAATAGAATAGCTATACTAAGACGACCGGGTCGTGATTCGTTCATCTCGAAGGGAAAGATAACAAAAAGCTTGTGACGCAACAAAGAATGAAGCGGAGCCTTGGTGTAGAGGCGTTGGTATATATGAACGAGCAGATCGCCAATGTAATAGTAGGCCCTGGTTCGGACTGCATTGTCTTTGAACACTTGGAGCTTGTGCAATATGATGTCAGGCGAAACTTCAGCAGCAGGGGGACCACTCAGTGGAGTATCAGATACGAGTGCTGCAGTACTCGACGAGATTGAGTCATGATATGGACGGTCCCTCCTATGGGCTATAAGCATCTTATGAATCGTATCTTCATAATAGCCATCCGAAGAAAAAGATCCACTTCTAGTAGCTTCGCCATCTTTTTCAACCTTTGGCACGTAGCTCCTCAAGGCATCCAATGAAAATTCCTTGAGCTTCGCTGGGCTGGCTCTGTAAAGGCACAAGGTACGTCCACCGTACCTCAAGCACCCAGAGATGAACAAAAGCATCATGGCAGCCAGGAGCCGCTTATCCGCCCAAGACGGCCTGGTGACGACATAGCCGGCCACCACTACTTGGGTGACTAATCCCAACAGGTGGCGCCTCCACAGCTCATTGTCCTTCATGGAGAAGGCAGTGATGGTTTGTTGTCCGCCTAGGTGAAGGAGCACGAAGGGTGCCCACAAGAAAAGGAGTTGGTGGCGTGGCCCGCTTGCATGGACAGAAAGATGGCCTAGGATGAAAATGGCTACAGAATCGGCGGACATGTAGGCCAGCCAGAGGAGTGAAATGAGGATGCGTGACGTGCTACGCCTGCGTAGGCCTGCGGCGAAGAAGAGGAACACTTGCAGGCCAAAGCTTACAAGAATCAAGCCATGGATCCCCCATTCCGTCCACAGCTTCCCAACATCCTCCAAGCTGATCGACCTAGAAAAATATTGAACTTAATTAGTCATCAATCATGGCTATAGACCCAAATTAATGGAAGATACTATAGCGAAGTTATTTCTTTTTTTAAAAGTTGACTTGTTGTTGGAAAAATAGACCCACAATTTTTATTTATTGAATCTGAAAATAAATATAAATAATGAAGTGCTTGGTGTGATGTTAATCAGAATTTTAATTTATGTTTCATATGTTTAAGGATGGAATTCTGAACTTTATGTAACGCTTCAAAATTTTAGATTATAAATCCAGCAAAATGTTTTAGTCAAAGTTGAAATTGTATTTGATGTTTTATCCAGATAGGTATATATTTGGACAACTTTCATTTGTATGTATGTATTATCTGTGTGTATATGAAAGACACAATTGAAATATTTTTGTACACTTTACTTTTATTATTTTTGAACAAACTTTTTACTATTATTATTATCAATATTATATTTTAGAAATATGGAATGCAAATCATGCTTCAGTCAATACTATATTACAAGATTAGTAATTCACAGGCAATAAAAATCTATACCCTAACACTATTATTTATTTTAAGAACATATGGCAGAATAAGTATAAATTTAAAGACAGAAGAAGGCACGTTTCTGTAAGTATTGTCCATAATAATGTATTGTAACTCATGTTCATTTTAATAGTTTGAGAACTTAAATCAATGTAAAATGGGCATAGCTCCTTTGATACCCATGAGGCAGTGATACAACAAACTCAAATTAGCAATGCAAAACCGTAACTTTTTTTTTGTAAATGATCTAATTTTAGTTCAAATAATTAGGAAGTACTTTATTTTTTACTTTTGTTAATATCTTAAACCAAATTTGGTTCGAACTTTGCATATTACATTCCAAACATAGCATTCCCTATAATTTGTTGTTTTAATGTTTGGAAAACTTGTGTGGCTTTTATGGATTTCCTTCTTGGTTCATCCATATCTATACCAATATAAAAAGTGCGATTTGCGGAGATCCAACAAATCTCACTCGTTTGACCGCATCTACCCCCCGGTCTACATCGCTCTGAGGTTTAGCGTTAAACATGTTTAGCACTAAACATATGTAACAACCTTCACTAATTAATATCATGCCTACCACTTAATATTAACATGCAATTTATACTCCCTCCGTTCACAAATCCAAGATCTAACTTTTCAGTGAATCGGATATACATACAAAATTCACATGAGGGTAACTACCCCTAGGTGGTAGGAAACATTTGTCCTATATATAGGCACCTACTTTTATTGTGTTTCTTCACTTATTTCATTTCGTATGTAGTCCATATTGAAATATCTAAAACATCATATATTTATGAACAGAGGGAGTATTAATGTGCAATGCAATTAATATTTTGTCTAATATGAACGTGCATTGCATTTACACAATTATTGCGAGTTCTCAACTAGTATGTCACTATGTTCCCATTCATCATTTCCATAGTTATTTGAAACTACAAAACTACTAACATTCCCGTTGTGTGTCCTTGCAATTAATGTCTCAAGTGGTCAAGTTGTGTTTCTTGATACCCCGCAAAATGAAAAAAAATATAGTTGTGTTTCTTGATAAACAAGGTGCCTGAGCTACTAGGGGTGAATTGAAATGTCCCAGCCAAGTGGTAAAGTTTGTGTGACTGCAAGCAAGTGGACAAGTAGAGATGACGATGACTTACGGTACCTGTGTTGAGTGGTGGGAGGGTAGTTCGGCAAGTCGGCGCAGACGACGCAGTCTCCACGATCCCTCAGCGGCAGCGCCCTTACGCACGGCCCCGCTCAACGGCGGCAGCTCGATGGTGGCTGTGGCGGGAAATAAAGAAAGACGGAGAGCGATAGGATACAGTAATCGTTTATCCCGGTCATCTAGTTTATTATGGTGTGCACCTCAATTTATAAGGCAACAAAACAAACAGACGGAACTCGGGCGCTCGATTCCTTGCTTGGACTGGCGCAGCTTGCTTGCTTTGCTTGCAGCCGGAGACGGCCAACGCATGCAAGAACTGGATGCTTTGGACAGGAACCCTCCAGCTCCAGGCTAGCCGCTTCTTTCCGTGTGAATCAGCCTGAGGCTGGGCATCGATGCTTGCTTGCTGCCACGATCGACCCCCATCTCTGGAGCCAGGAGGAAATGCCTTCTCAGTTGCCAACACAGCGTCCAAATTTTCAAGCTTTAAGTAAAACACCATGGGTCGACGTGTTGGTAATGTTTTTTTTAACACAGTAAAGGCACATGCGCTCATATATATATACACACGTATACACTTATTTCTATGAAAACACATGCACACCCTACTTCTATGAGCATCTCCGAGAGACTGAGCCGGCATATCATCTTGAGATTGATGGAATCACCAAAGCACCTTATAGTTGACGGGAACGCCTCCTCTCATTGAACGCGCATCGCGGAGATTCCTCATATAAATCTATGAATAAATGCGAGCATCAGGATATGAACCTAATGGGTTGGGGATACCGTTGTCCATCTAACCATCCAACCAGAACTTGGTTGGCTACGTGTTGGTAATGTTAACAGGCGATTTTCAGAGCCTCCTCCATGAATTCCGATGCATGATATTTTTTGAACTTCCGTACGCGAAAAAAAGACCAAGCGAGCAAATACTCATACTATAAGACACGGCTAAATTATTCCGTGTAACACCAAACTTATGTTGGAAAATCCTCAGATTTTGTACTCCCTCTGATCCATAGTACTTGTCGTTCAAACGGATATATCTAGAAATCTTGATGGTAATATCAATCGGAGGGAGTATTAATTTCAGCATGCATTTCAAATTTCAAATTTCAGTATTAACATGGGACAAATTTAAATATCTTTTTTTTACCGAATGTCAAAATTACAAATCGTTTTCCCTGTTGTGTTGCTCGCTTCGATGTCTTTGAAACTAGATCCAACATTGATAGGTTTCGACCGACGTAACTTGTATTTCCCTACATATTATTTGTACTTTCCCACAAAGTGTACTTGTACTTAGCCGAGTTCCTGCACTAAATGCCCGTCTGCGGTGTACTTGTACTTCAAAATACAGTATACTTGTTGAATGATTATTTCTTCCCTTTTTTTGGAAATGGAGGCATGCCCCCCAGCCTCTGCATCATGATGATACATTGCGGCCATCTTATTAACAATCCAGAATCGTCAAAAAAGTCTTACAGCTCACAAAACGAAGCAGAACAAAGTACCCAAAAAAAAGGAAATTACATGTGAACAAGGACAACCGGCACAATGAAGATAAAAAGGATAAGCTCCCTAGACTCCTATCCTGTTATGCGAGCGCCATCCGAACCGGTTGAAGATAACCCGAGCTACCATCTCCCATTGGTTGCACCCAGTAACCAAAGGCTCCCTGGAGTCCATAGGAGTGAGTAAGGACCACGTACGGATCCAAGCTGTAGCTCTGAAAATAACCTGCAAAAAAGTTAAAGTGTGTTGTCTGTTAAAAATCATATCATTCCTGCAGTTCCATATAGCCCATAATAGCGCACATATTCCAATCCGAATACGAGCCGCAGTAATCTGATCAACCCCAGCTAACCATGTCCCAAACAAAGACGCAATATCAACTGGAGGATTAATATTGAAAGCTATATGAATCGTTCTCCAAAGTAACTTAGCAAGTGGGCATTCAAGAAATAAGTGATGTATTGTTCCGTCATGATCACAAAAACAGCACCGCGAAGAGCCTACTCATCGCCTCTTAATTAAGTTGTCCTTGGTGAGTATCACTTGCTTGTGAACAAACCACATGAAGATTTTAATACGCAAAGGAATCTTAACTTTCCAAATGTGCAGCGACCTTGATAGTGGGCCAGAGTTAATCAGATCCATATAGAAAGATTTCACCGTAAACATCCCATTCGTAGTTAATTTCCATTGTATTGAATCCAGCTAGTTGGAGAGTTGAACTTCTATCAATCTCCGAACCAGGTGCATCCAGGCGGCCCATCTCTCACCAACTAACACATGTCTGAACTGGATGTTCAAGGGAATTGTTTGAAGGATGGTACCCACGTAATCCTCCTTACATTGCACAATATTATAGAGTGTAGGATATTGGATGGCCAGGGGCATCTCTCCTAGCCACATGTCCTCCCAAAATCTTGTTGACATTCCATTGCCAACCAAGAATTTGACCCTACGAAAAAACAGGTCCTTCGTGCGCATAAGTCCCTTCCAGAATGGCGAGTCAGTCGGTCTCATGGTAACCTGGGCTAGTGTTTTCGAGTGCAGATACTTATTGCGCAAGAGTTGAGACCACATGCCCTCCGGCTCAGTCTCTAGTCTGTAGAGCCATTTGCTCATAAGACATTTGTTCTTGATTTCTAAGTTCTCAATACCGAGACCCCCTTGGTCTTTAGGTCGGCAAAGGATATCCCATCGCGCGAGACGGTATTTCCGCTTGGCGTCATCTGACTGCCAAAAGAAGCCAGATCTAAGCCAGATCTAAAGAAATCAAGTCGGTTTTGGTATACATAGCATGAGAATTGAGGACTAACCATGTTTAATGAGTACATGACATGTTTGTTACTGCAAAAGGTTGTAATCAGAGAAGGATGGTGCCCCCCTCCCTCCCCGGGCGGTTGCTAAAGACGGAAGAAAGGTGGGGCATTGAATAATGTATATTTTCCTTTGATTCTCAGTCATAGGATATCAACACTATTTTTGGACCCCCCCTTCTCTCGTGTCCCCCTCGTCCGCCCCCGTGGGCGGTCAGGGGGAAACCCTAGCCGTCGCCCACCAGGCCTCTCCCCTACCTTCCCTAGTCCTCACCACGGCTGGAGGGCACCGTCGGGCGAAGCCCGTCT